TATTAGTTATTCCTTAATCTACTCCATGATGGGCAGTCAAGAAAGGAAGGAAAAAGAAAACAAACCTGACCATATTCTATGCTCCAAGAAAGGGTATTTTAATCAAGGGAAATTACATTCCTCTGGCTCCTTCCAGCTGGGAGCATTCTATATACATCAGGGGTTTTATGTATTTCTAATAGATCTGTATCAGATTGCTACTTAACACATGACTCTAAATCTTAGAGCTGTAGACTTATTCCACCTTCAGATAAAATCACTTGCTCTGTAACCAGCATTACTTGGAATTGCATTTATGGGTTTGCCAGATTGGAAAATGTTAATTTTTAACCTTCAATCCAAATTCTTACATATATATATATTAGTTTAAGAGTTTGTGGATCTCTTAAGGAAATTCAAATGCTTTTCTTGGATCCAGCATTAAACAGATCAGAAACATCTTTAAATGAAATGCAGGCTGTGGAGTATAAGATAGCAGATCCATCATTATATATCTACAGAGAGAAACAGCCTTCGTGAAAATTTCATTTTCCAAATGCACAGTGACTAGAAATTAATTCTAACCAAATTAATTCTACATATATTAGTATTGGGTATATATAATAATGTTTTCATATATAGGTATATTACATATGGATATATCTGAATTATAACTATTTAAATAAAAATGTAAGCATAAAATAGATCTATTTTAAAATAACCTAACAGTCTTTAATGCATTATAGTGAAATGCAGACAGAAGTGAAGTTACCTATCAGCATGTTTCGGCCATTACTACATTCAGAGATCAGTTACTGCATCTCTCTGCATAGGCCTCTCTCCAAATGTTCTGGATGTGTTACTATTTATGAAGTATGCAAAAGTGAGCAAGACAAAGGAGATGGTTCAATTTCAGAGAATAAAAGCAACAGCACAACTCAAATACAAGTAGATCTAGGCAATCTTTTTAATGAAAAACATATTTCACAATAAGGTGGACAGTTGGTCTAGATAGTAGAGGACTTCTCCAGCCTTAATGATTCTATCATTCTAAAAAAATAAAAGCAAAATAAAAGATATAGAAAACAGGACATGTGAAAAACAGCTGAGAGAATTAATATGAAGAAGCAACTGAAAAATCACTTTGGTAGAGGCAGAAGTACTGGTGGATTTTGGCTAGCAATTCACAGTGTAAACCATAACAAGAAAAACACCTACTTGTGATACTAAATGAACAACACCTATCTACTTCAATGTAAACAGAGCTGCTTCAATTTAAATAAATATTGATAATTCCTGTTTAACGTTCCATGCACACTCTTAACAAGAGAAGACTGTATTTCTGTCTAAATAATAGTAGTCTAAAATGAAATACTATCCTTCTACAAACCAGACTGAACAGACCTGTGCAACATGCACTTGTGGTACATATCATAAACTTTCCTGGTATCCATCCACCCTGTAGCAATTACATTTGGCCACAATGCAGATTTGCAGCTCTGCACAGTGGGTGCATGTGGACCCAAATCATAGTCCTGGTGGTTCCCCAGGGCTGCAAAGGCGAGCTGCTAGGAAACATCAACCAGCTTACCCAGATATGTGATTTTGCTGCTATTGTAGGATACAGACTGCACACCACATCACTGCACTGGCTGAACATTTTTCATTTTTTCCCCCACGACAACATGCTCCACCAAGCCATACAGCAATTAGAACATCAACTGTGCAAACTCCGACTGAGGCACAAGTCATGTTGGTAGTATCATCTTTCATCTGTTAAATTCTTACCCAAAAGTGCATCTGAAGAAAAACAGTTGGAGAGTGTGTCCTCTGAAATGGTTACAGAAATCACTGATTTAACTTCTCTTATCTCTTGATCAGAAAACAAGCAAAGTCAACCAAATTGGTGATACGTAACAGCAACACAAAACATGTTAAAAAGCAATATCATGATAAATTAGAACTGCTAAAATAACAACAAAAAGGATATTCTGAAGAAGACTTATATTCACATATGTTCCAATATCAGTTGTCTAAAAACCTCACCTTCGCTTCCTCTCAAACAATTCCTCACAAGATATGTAAAAATGTTAATTGAAAATAGCACAGAAAAAGAAAGAAAAACCAGAAGAATGTTCAACCTTTAAAAATGGCAATGGAAACAATTTTCATTTGCAGAAGTGTAAATTTGTATCTTTTTGTTTTTCCTGGTGCTGTCTGCTCTGCTAATTAGCGAGGCCAGGGGGAGCAAATCAAATTTTATAACCCAATTCATATAACCCAATTCCAGTAAGAATCAACTGTAAAGATCACACAGCTAAAAGACACACATTAACTTTCTGTTTGAAAAAGTACAAGATTGTTCAGTGGCTAATATTATTCACGTTACTAACATTAGAAGGTAAAAGTTGCATTAAGATTGAAATTTCAAAGTTGAAATTCTGTTTTGTGAAAATGAAGCATTTTTAATAAACCCAACCATTGCGCAGAACATTGAAATTTTTTCCGCTCAAGGAAAGCTTCATTTGGAAAACCTAATAGCCACAATTTTGGTATGAATAGAAATTATGTGCGGAAACAAGAAGCAATAAGAAACATCAAGAAATCAGCAGCATGGCAGATCTTAAAGCAGCTGCCAGTGCTTGAATCCTGACTGAGATCGTTGATCAACTTTAAAGTCAAGGCATGCTATTTTCTGATAGCACATGGGAAGAATTCACAAACATTTGGTTCATGTACAGCCTTTTGGTCTTCAAATGAAAGAGCACAAAAGTAAAGCTGAATCAGTTAAAGAGACTGATGTTTGATTTCCAGCTTTTTAAAACTTCTGTACAATAATTATTTACCTATTTTATACACAAGTAAGAAGAAGAAAACCTTGTGGCAATCTAATAGCCTAAAATATAGGTGCTGTAAGGTAATTAAGCTCCCAAATAATTACTTGGAAAACTATTTGGAAACTAGTTCAGAATAGTAAAATAAATAAATAAATAATCAGTGAAACATGAAGTATTTTAAGCAATTTGAGTTGAAGTACAATTCAACTACTTCAAAATCTTTTAGAATTCTGCTCTATTTTATTCTACATTAGAAATGAATTTTAGACTAAAATTTAATGCAAAACTTGTTCCTAGAGACAAAGAAGTTACAATACTTCATTTTGGTATCAACAAATTTAATTTCAACCTGTTTGCCGTAACCTAATTACAATTCAACAGAACCCTTCTAACATATCTTTACAGTTTAAACTGCATATTTTAAGAATATTACTATAACAACTCCTTGACAACACTGCCATCTAGTGTTGAGTTATTTCATACTTTCAAATGAAACAACTGTTTAAAATCACTGCTGCCTGGCTTCAAATATTTAATGAAAGAGAAAGAAAGGCTTAATGCAAGAAGTACCTATATGGCCAACAACAGTAGACAGAACACAAGTGAAACCAACCCAAACATTAGTTGGATTGTATCCTATTTTATTCAACTCTGTAACAGCCTTATAAGACACCTATTCACTTCTTATTGAACTAACCCCAGTTCTATCGTTGTTGATCAACATTCATCACTAACTGAGATAATGTCTTTGTGTCTTTGTATTAAGTTTCAGCTTCAATGCTGTGTCTTAAATCAATAGATACACTGCACTGAATGCAGCAAACAATAACAGCTGAGGTATAGAAGTCACAACTGTTTCTCTATGCGATGCCATTAGACTGACCAACAAACTTCCCAGTACAGTGAGTTAAAGAACCCACGCACTTATAGAAAAGCAATTTATCTCAAGCCACCTCTGACATTTCAGCCAGAAGAAAAAATAGTGAACAGATACTGTTGTCCAAAATTAGACATTTTTACTGACATTAGTATCACTGAATTACTTCTGTTCCAAATAAACTCCACGTAGCTACAAAGCTGAAGCCAGCCAAAGACCGGACCAGCGTGCTTCAACAACCTTTGATGCCCCTTCATATAAACACCTTATCATTATCAACAAATACACGTACCAGTGATTAAATAAAGCACTGTAATTCACTTGGTCTTGCATTTCTTAATTTTAAAATGTGTATTATTTGTGGTGGATTGTTCTGCAAATATGAGAGATGAACTTCACCAACCTAAACATGTGAGAACACTGAACAGTGATGATTAAAACTGCAGAACTGGTTAAGTATCTCAAGCTTATTTCCTAGAACTCTGCATGAAAACAAACATCATTTAAGCAATCCCTGATTTGAAACTTAACAATTAGATGTAGAAAATATTTCTAAGTAAAAGTCAATAAATATTTCTAAGTAAAAGTCAATTGGAAAGCAAGAAAGCAGCGGAAAGGGAGATCTTCTAAGGTGTACATGGAAGCTCTAAGAATCAAGCTGACATTAAAGAATAGATATTTACAACTGATAAATGCAGAGCTTTAGAGCGACCAGAGAGAATCCTACGCTTACTGCATTTCACTCAGTGCTATAGTTATGCTGCCACCTAGTGAAATGGGAAACCGACTCGACTCTGAAAAACAAAGTTGGTCCAAATGAAAAATATCATTCCTATGACATATGTATGCCACAGCAGGTACTTTTCACCTTCAGAGACCTTGCTCCTCCCTCTGCTCTTTCTTGACTACTGCAACTTCAATAACACATTATCGGTGACTAATTCTGTCAGTAAGATAGAGAACATTTACACACTTAAATTGAAACGCAAGAAGGCTAGCAGACTTCAGTGAGAATTCAACAAGCTAACCAACACAGATAACATTCCATAATCAAGAAATATAGTAGCTGTTATAAAGTTTCAGATCATTACACAGATAAAAGCTTGTATTCATAGCTACTAATATAAATAAATACTACCACAAGACTTCAACTTAAATTAATAACGTGCTTATTTTTCCATTATATTCCATTAAAATAGCAACTTAAAGAACCAACAAAACACCTCCACACACATACCAGTGTGAAGCCTTTTCAAAAATTCCACAGACAATGTACAGGAAATAAAAGCAAGCACATATGTACTCACCTGGGAAAATATATTTGCAGTTGGAGCAACTCTGTTGTCCACAATGCTATACAATATTGCTAATAATCTGTCCAGAGGAAACGGCTTTGGTCCAAGGAGGTGATTGCTGGTCTGAAAAACAAACAGGAGTTTTTAATCCAGGAGATTTTTCCCAGAGTATCACAAGATGCTATTCTTGTAATTTTCAGTCTCTAGGGAGGCATAATCACTCACAGTAGTCTTATATATATATATGGCTTCACATATATTATGGAAAACACCGAATAGATGCTTTCCAATCAATAAAAAAATGCAGACAGAAAGCTCTAGTTAACATGGCAAGAGTTCAAACTGCACAATAAATGGGGAACATTTTGAGCTCTAACAGAGGATCTGATGCCAAATTTCGTGTCATTGGATTTACAGACTGACTTGTCCTGTTAAATTACCTTGTCTGGTCTGCAGATTAAAGAGGAAAGACCAGATTTTCTGACAAGGTACAAATAGCTTTCTTCAGTTTATCAATGGGAAGACACATTAGACTTCTTCAAAGCTAACAATTTTTAGCTAGTGAAAAATGAAAATGTCCAGATTTATTCTATTGCCTACAGCCTGTAATCCACAATTACCTGAAAAGTACTGCACATAACAGTAGTTTTTAAAAATCTGCAGGAAATGTTTCTTAAATGTATTTTTTGGGCATTTTCCCTACAGAAAACAAATGTTTTACTAGATAGCTTCATTTTGAAAATGTTTAAAAAGAGGAGATTCTGCTGAAGTATCACCATATCTGCTTTGACTCATTTAAGCTAATCTCTTCCTCTCTCAGACCTAACACTACTTCTCTGTCCCACTATTCCAATGGCAGTTGTATTAGCTTCTTATGAAAGCCAGCTGCAAATCAGAAATCCTAATACTATAAAAAACAAATAGGCCACATCACATTAATTTTATATCACACACAACAGCTTTACTTCTTATCATGCTTTTGTACAAAACAGACTGAATATTATCAATTAAATGACTACAGAAAAAAATCATTAGATGTTTCAGAACAAGAATTCTTCATCTTAAATGCCATCTTAAACCACTCTAATAGGCAGCCTTATGGTGTTCAACATGACTATAGTACATCAGCAGAGTAGATCTTGTATAGTTTAATAGAGATCACCTGATTCTCTACTATTAAGTCTGATCACATTTTCATGGGTTTGAGTCATAGCTTTTACTTTAGTCACTTCCAATGAAGAACACGGATGTGTGGGCACAAGGGCACTGTAATTGCTTGCTCTATGTTCCATATAGGTCCTTCAATGGAGTAAAAACTTGCTGTAAGACCAGGAAATACACTGGCTCCTGTGAATACTATACTGAAACAACAGATTACATTCTGCCCTAAAACAACTGATTCTGTAAGTTCTTAATTTTAGAAAATCATCAATAGCTGAAATCTTCTGGCTATTTAAGATTTTCTAAAATTACGAACTTCTCTAGAACATCAATAATGTTTCCAGATTTAAATTTCGTGGATTCAGAATGGGCATCAACCAGCAATGTTGATGACAAGTAGATGAAGTGATGTAAAGAATATTCCTGTGAACACAATAGAGTTGAGGCAGAGTTGAGGCTCACATACAAAAATATACAACTAGAGCAAAAGATTCTTTAATAGTTATTGATAACTAAAGGAACAGGCAGGGACTTTCTGCTGCCAGAAGGTAAGTTCAGCACAAATATTTACACATTTTAAAGTCTGCTTTGAAAAGAGTTAGTGACCAAGTAAATGCACAGGGGATCAACTACATATTCCTGTAGACCTGTTTTACTAGACTCTGAATTATTCTAGTCATTCAAAATCTATGTAAAGGGAAAAAAACAGCATAGAAGATTTAAAACATAGTTTTCCCTTTTTTCTCTGCTTCTCTTGTGGTACTTCTTTTAATCTATACCAACAGACAAGGTAGCAGTGCTACAAAAACACAGCATAGATAGATTCTTGAATTTCACTTCATTTATATTAGTCTATCAAATCGCAAGATGGTTGAGGCCGGAAGGCACTTCTGGATGTGCCTGGAAGTTATTCAATCAAACCCCCTCACTCCCTCAATTCAACAAGTGTCATTTGCTCATAGATATAGATATAGATATATGCATATATATATACATATATGACTAAAGCTTCATTACTGCTAGCCTCAGAGAACTGACTTTTTGAACTCAGAATCTACCAAACTTCAGGCAAAGAACAACAGCAAGCCATGCAGAAATATAAAGCAGAACCAACTTGCAGACCCCACTGATTTTCACATAGTTGTTACAAGAACACACAAAATAGCTCTGATGAGTTCTTCACCAACAACCAAATATCATTGGATAAATCCATGAGGACAAAAACTCATCACAGCTACTAAATTTACATACATAACTAAGCCACTTTCATTCATTAGGCACAATGACAAAACTATGATTTTGTTTTATTATTTTATTTAATAATTAATTAATTAAATATCTTATTTAATTTATAAATATTTTATTATTTATTATATTATATGTTTTCAAAAAAACAGCAGATAATACACTTGCTTTTAAGAAAGTCATTTAAACACATACCTTTCCTATCTTTCATAAGCACCTATACCTATATTTTAAGAAACTTAATGAACAGCATTCATCTTTGAAGCAGACCAACATGAACCGCTGTATTAATTTAAGCATCAGACTCAAATTCTCTATCCATTCATCTATTCTCGTAAGTTTCTAAACTGCTCTACTCTTTACATAGCAAAGTAGAAAACTTTAAGAATAGGATTCACCTTCCTGATTTGAAGACCTAAATTTAATAGTCTGCACCGCTGCACTCACCAGAGATCCACCTGATAGAGTCAGAATGACCCTCCTGCAGATGCCCAGGTAATGGTTGGTAAATCACTCTATGCAGTGACTAGATTCCCTCCTAGCTACTCAAAAGCTTTGCTGGCTACTGTACTGAATTACATTTAAATTTATGTGCAAATTGAATAGACTGCAAAGCACCTGTCATACGAGGATGCTGAGAGCTGAACTGCTTAACCTTGAGAGGAAAAGGTTTGTGGGGATGTTATCAGTGCGCAGATAGATAGGGCTTCAGGAGGTCTCAATTCAAATCCCTCCTGCTCAGAGCAGGGTCAGCTGTGAGACCAAACAGGTTAATCAGGACTACATCAGCACAGTCTTGTAAACCTCAAAGGATACAGAGTGCACTCTGCCTCTACAGGAAGACAGTGACACTTCTTGACTGTCACTATAGGGAAAAGTCTTTCCCTTACACCTGGTACAAACATCTTCTTTCAGCTTATGCCCAGTGTTTCTCACTCAGGTACAGACAGGCCTTCCCTCAGCCTCCCCTCACAGGACAAGTGCTCCAGCCCTTGACCAGCATGGGGATGAACTTGGCCAACTCACTGATATGTCCCATACTGGAGATGGGGCAGAACTCAACACAGTTTCAGATGTGGCCCAAGGACTGCTAAGCAGGGATTCACTTCCCATGACTTCAGCTGCCAAATTAAAGCCATTACGTTTTCTCCTAAGAGCTGCTACCAGACAAAGTGATAGACACTTTAGGCACTGCAGACTACAGCGAATTCAAAATAAAACACAGAAACAAATTCCCGATTTGCAGCATGAAGTTTTTTTCTCAAGTATTTTTTAAGTAAGCCATTTTACAAAAAGGAAAAATACAGTTTATACAGAACTGGATAATACGAAATTCTCTCCACACATGCAGTACTGTCAGGAATACAGAGTTGTATTCATGACCCAGATTGTCAAAAGTTCTGATAAAAGGAAACAAGTGTTTTCCTTAAGTGTGTATTTCATTCTCTCTACTTTGACATTCAGTTTCCTTTTTTGTAGCATACGTTGATCTATTCTTACTAGCAAAGCAGACAAGATTAAAGAGGAATTTCAGAAGAGTTTGTTTAAAAATGCTTCTGGAAAAGGACATCACACAAATATACCAACAGCACCTCTGTGGCATTAGATTTTAGAAAAGTAATTTCTTCAGCAGAACAAAAGAACACTTCCAATACATGCTTTAGCTTCAAAAATCCAGGAGGTGTCCCTAAAGCTATCTCTTCGCTAACAAAGAAAGACGTAATATCAGAAACATGTCATCAAAACCGTACTAAAACCATCTATACAGATAGGCCCAATTCCTCTAACACAGCACCACAGAATCACAGAACCCCGGATTGGAAGGGATCTCAAGGATCACAAATCTCCAAGCCCCCTGCCACATGCAGGGCCACCAACCTCCCCATTTAATACCAGACCAGGCTGCCCAGAGCCCCATCCAATCTGGCCTTGAACACCTTCAGGGTCAGGGCACCCACAACCCCTCTGGACAGCCTGTTCCAGCACCTCACCACTCTCTCTGTAAAGAACTTCCCCCTGACACCCAACCTAAATCTTCCCTCCCTCAACTTAAAACCATTTCCCCTCGTCCTGCAGTTATCAACCCTTTCAAAGAGTTGATTCCCCTCCTGTTTGTAGACTCCCTTTAGGTATTGAAATGCTGCAGTGAGGTCACCCCGCAGCCTTCTTTTCTCCAGGCTGAACAAGCCCAGCTCTCTCAGCCTGTCCTCATAGAGCAGGTGCTCCTTGATCATCTTCGTGGCTCTCCTCTGGACCCTCTGTCCCTCCTCTGGACAGCTCCCTGTCTTTCTTGTACTGGAGGCTCCATAACTGGACACATACTCCAGATGGGGCCTTATAAGAGCGGAGTAGAAGGGGACGATCACCTCCCTGTCCCTGCTGGCCACCCCTCTTCTGGCACCCTCAAAATAAATAGATAAAATAAAAAAAAGATAAAATAGAAGATATGAACTGCACACCATCTCAACCTTCTGCTTCTCAGCAACAGTTCCATGAAGCATATTCTCCAATATCAACAAGAAGAAGTCAACAAACATACAATAACTATTAAAATGTGTACACCCCAAGTAGCTAGCAAGCACAATCAGCATACAGTAATTCCTGAAGTTGCATTTAGCATACAGTTACTTCACAAGTCTGTTTTTTTCACATTATCATCCTTCTGCTTTAACAGATTTGAATTTTCAAATTTAAGAAATGGTTTCTTCTGGAAAAGCCAGGAGAGTTAAATAAAATGAAGTGCTCCTTCTAGAACTCACACTTTACTGGACTTCTTTGGCAGAAATAAATTCCTGTAAGAGTAGGAACAGTTCAGAAATTCTTCCAAACAGAAGATAGACAAGAATAAGATTTATGAAGATCTTCTGGAATGAACTGAGGCAAAATACTGCATAAAAGAGCACTTGCAAAAACCCAAGGGAACCCTCATATTGTTTCACAAAGAAAGATATCTTCCACATTCAAAATAATAATTTATGAATTTTTAGAGCTATCAAATCTACATGCCCTTGCCTAGGGGTTTAAAAAACACCAGGTTGGATGTGGCTCTGGCAGCCTGATCTGGTGGTTGGTGATTCTGCACATAGAAGGGGGTTGAAATTAGATGATCATTGTGGTCTTTTTCAACCCAGGCCATTCTGTGATCCTATGATTCTCTTCCCCAGTTGTCACTGTGTGTGCTTGTGCAGTTTCATAGTCCCAGCGTTTAAATGACCTAAGCCTTTCAGAACTTCACAACTCCAAATCCCATACTCACATGCCAACATTTCAAGAACAAGAATGAGGATTAGAAGCATTCTTACATAGTAAAAGCTTAACCCAAACTGAATTACCTGTACAGTAAGGTGAAAACTCTTAACCTCAATTGGCTGAACTTTCAACCTTTATTATCATATGCTAACAGATGGAACTATACCTCTCACTGTTTTGAGCAGAAAGTATTGTTAAATTTCCCTCACTGTTATACAACTGAAGTATCATGGGGTGTATGCTAGAAATTAAAAAAATTAATAATAACAAATAAATTCTAGGTTAAAGTCAAGGTACCCTCCAACAAAATAAAACAACCACCAATACATCTGATCACTTCTAAAAGCAAACTCCTGCAAAAGTAGCTCCACCAGGAAAAATCTCACTTAACTAGAAAAAACATTGTTCCAGATCAACCATGTGAAGAAACCCAACAAATTCTGCTCTTATCTGCAACAAGGTAAATGAAGGCAATTTTTTCCCCTCACGGGGAATTCAAAAGATTTACTTTTCTAATTAGAAAGCAATGCCTTCAGATTTTAAGCCTGGCTGTACCTAAACATTTAAGGCAGGATTTATTTCACCTAATGTTAGCTTCCTGCCAAGTGGGTATGTACAGCCAAACTAGTTTCCTAAGCTCCCATTATAGCCAGTAGAAATCTAATCAATATAGTTTATGGTGCAATTTATCCAATTCAATACAGAACCTACTTTAGCATCAGATGAATCTTGCACTGCACTCCAATGCCCACATTAACTGGCTGTGCACTGTCTATAGGAGACTAGTTTAAATGCAGCATCGCCCTGGATTTAAGCGAATGTGAACTCTAAATATGATGTTAGACAAGTTTTTCTAAGCAAAGGTACATAAGCACATACAATTGGTGTGAAAAACACAAGCAAGTCAGCCCCTACTTGTAACACTGCATATGTAATCCTTTATTCCTGTATTTCCATTTCCTTCACTGTAAAATCAAATACATAAGGTTACATCTAGGTCACTGCATCTCTGTGCAGTATTTATAAAAGTCAGAGGGCAGTAAAAGAAATGCTGGTCTAGAAGATCCCTGTGGGACCTGAAGTCCTCTTCTCTGCTATTGCAAGTACAGTGCCTGAAAAAGTTTCAAAACCAGACTCTGGCCTACAACCAGTTAGAATTTCTGGCATCAACTGTCAGGAGTGAAAGGGCCCTTCTACTTGTCCACTACAAAGAAAACCAGAGCTCTTAGAGAAGGAAAAGACCTCCTGAAATGCTACAGAGTTCTGTCGTATTAATTATTCCCCAAGACATATTTCAGTTTCTTGCATGCAATCAGTTTAATGTAACATAGCAGATATCTTCTGTTCAGTACATTTGATGTACAGGGTTACAAAGTTTTAATTCCCTTCAAAGTAATATTAATTTTTAATACAACAAAGGTAGAAGATGAGATCTTTCGCAAATTTGGGCTGTCCTGATAATGAAACTTACTTACAGGTGGGCAACAAAGCAAGCTCATTTAAATGCACACATCTAATCACACTTTCTGAACAACAGCCCAAAGCTTCAGCAGTAGGCTAAAGGGAAAACCAAGAAAACTAGAACTAATCTAATAAAGACTAAAAAGAAAAAAAATAACTGAAATCTTAAACTTTTGGGCCATTAATTTTGCTTACATAACTACATGGATCTTGTCAGTTACCCTCATTTACTTCTATTTCCTCAGTAGCTCTTCCTATTCTGTTTTTGTACCTACATGATAATATTTAATTTCCACGAAAATGTAAATAGACTACAGGGCAGAGACTGTGCCTGCATGGTCTGATGCTGCAGGAACAGTAACAAAATGAAATAAATTCATCATTAACGGAAGTACTTCTGAGCACTAAGAAGTAAATTCAGATATAAGTGCATTTAACAATTAAACAGAAGTACAAGCTCTACAGCACAGTTAAGGTGACTGTGACCTCTATATTCTATCACCCCATCTCTTATTTTCCCCTTTTTTTCCAAATTCCTAGCTGTTCTCATCTCCCTAGTTGTTCCCATCTCATCACTAAGGCTGAAAATCCTATTGCTGAGAGAATAAAACAAAACACCGCTCCTGCAGAGGCTGCAGGAAGAACATTCTAGTCTAAGGCACAGCAATTATTTCTCCACTCTCTCTCTTCTGAAAATGATTTATCAACTAATTAACATGTGGATGTATTTCAAGAAGATAACAGTCCTTAAAATAATCACATGCTCCAAAATATCTCTAGAGTTCACGTGCCAGAGAGAAGAGGTATGACATCTTGAATATGTGTCCTGTACACATAGACTTAAGAATTCCTACATATGCTTAGTTATCTACTTAAAGGTGCCATAGTTGAAGTAAAATTAAAAATCAAATTTTCACAAGTATAATCAGCACCACTACAGAAATAGGTGGGACTCTAATCTCCTGCAGGGCCAAACAAAAAATGAGGGCAGGTTCAGAAGGAAGGGTTATTTAAGCTAAGAAATTATCAAATCAAATTTTTCACCCACACTGCTTGTGGCACAGAAAAGGAAGGGCATAACGATGATTTCCACATGGATTTAGTCTACCCACACTGCTCCTGATTTTATGGTTCATCTAAAAGCAACTCAACAGTTTACAAATGTTAATTTGATTTTTCCTCTTAGATTACATCTACAAATACACATACAGGTACTTGCTTTCCAAGTACATCAAGCATCTGTCAGTAAAAACTGATACAGCTTCACCAAAATCAGTTATGTTTGGATACTTATAACTATGACAAGTTTAGTTAATAGTCTGATGGAATAATTACCTTTTTTTGGTTAATGGATTCTTTCTATGTAAAAAACAGACAGAACTGCAAAGTTCTCAAGCCTCAACATACAAATTTAAAGTCCTTATATCTTAAACATAACTAGGAATTGAAGTGATTTGATTTTCAAAATCATTTGTTACTTTAATGCGCTCAACAGAAATTGTGAAACCTGGCTCTTCTATACATGCTATCTTTATTTATGATATTGAGTGCACCCTCAGCAAGTTTGCTGATGACACCAAGCTGATAGAACAAAAAGAAGAGATGCCATCCAGAGGGACCTGGAAAAGCTTGAAAAGTGGGCACATAAGCACCTAATGAGGTTCAATAGGGCCAGGTGCACGGTGCTGTACCTGGGTCTGAGCAATCCCAGATGTGTGCAGACTTGGAGAAGAACTCATTCAGGCAAGTCCTGCGGAGAAGGACTCAGGGATGCTGGTGGACAAAAAGCTGGACATGAGCCAGCAGTGTATCTCTGCAGCCTGGAAGGCCAACTACCCTGGGCCAAAAGAGGGGTGGCCGGCAGGGAGGGAACTTTCCCCTCTGCTCTGCCCTCTTGAGGCCGCTTCTGGAGTACAGCATCGAGGCCTAGGACCTCCAGCACAAGGATGTGGAGCTGCTGGACATGTCCAGAAGAGGGCTACAAAGTTGCTCACCGGGCTGGAGCGCCTTCCTACAAAGAAAAGCTGAGGGAGCTGGGCTTGTTTAGCTCGGAGAATGCTCCAGTGAGACCTCGCTGAAGCCCTCTGGTACTTGAGGGGAGCTTATAAGCAGGAAGGAGACACATTTTTTGCTCGGTCTGATAGTGAAAGCTATAAACTAGAAGAAGGGAGATCTACATTTTTGCTCAGAGGGTGGCATCCCTGGATGTACTGAAAGCCAGGCTGGATGAGGATCCAGCTCCAGTCTGAGCTGGTGGGTGACAACTCCGCTCACAGCACAGAGGTTGGAACCAGATTATCTTTAAGATTCCTTTCAACCCAAGCCAATCTATGATGACCTTTATATAGTTTTATTGAGCACATTCAGCTATAAAAAAAGATACAGAGGACAAATTTACAGTACAATAAATTCTCATGAAATAAAAATGTATGCATCATACAGAAATGTATATAATGTAAAATAAATGCATCAATAACTTATTTCAAGTAATGCCTGTTTCTACAGTGAAGAATACAGGATAACACAAAGTATGAACGTATGAAATCAGTAGTGCAGTAGTAAGAAAATCTTTGTTCCCAAGCTCAGCTTTGAAAGATAAAATAGATACCTTTTCATGTTTCTTCATGAAGTTGGTCTTCTTAATTTTCCCATGATGCTGTAAAACAATGGACAAGAGCAAACACGATAAGCAAATTATTTTCTGCTCTTCTTACTGCAGTGACAAAATTAAATGAATCAGAAAGAATCATGCACCCTGTCTGGCAGTATGCTAGTACAGTTCTGCTTTTTATTACACCTCCAGTCTATATATCTCTGATGCTGCTAAGTAATTCTTATTAGAACTCCTAAAATCACACTTAGCTCTTGCCACATTGTGTCCCAAGTGGTATCCGTTTCTGTGTGAGTACAACAAGACATGAACCTCAGACCTGATTTTCAGTTAGTTTTTAGTATTGTTTAAATTGAAACAATTAACCATTCATATAGATACATTTTTTTTTAAATTAAAGAATATTTTAAAAGCAACTTAATTTTCATTTAATCTTCACAAAGCATTTGAACTTCCACGTAATTAACAGCATCACTGCTCATTATTACTTCACTGTTCTATCGGACTTTTAATAAACCAGAATCCCACAGATCACAACTGTATGTAGCCTAGCACATCTACTAGTAGAGCAGATTAGCACCCCAATGCCCACGCTTTTGTTTGCATCCCTTTTGCTTTCTGGCAGTCATTAGTTAACTACTCAAAAAAATAGTTTTCTGTGATCTACTTGCAATCTCATTACAGCCCCATCAAAACCATGTTCTGTTTCCACTTTCAGTATGAATCAAGGACACACAGCTTGAAGGCACACCCAAAAAGTTTTACTGGGCTTTGAGATGCACCTGTTTCTGAATTTTGCCCCAGCACCTTATGAATTGCTAATTGCTATCTGATGATACTTGCAGTAAGTACAGCAGCCTCTGTTTCACCCAATTCTTGGGGAAAATATTTAATGTCACTGACTGAAATGCCTACACTGTTTGTGCTTCAAAAACCTTAGAAGTTCACATTGCATTTACTGTGGGAAAGTTCAGTATGGTTCATACGCAAGAGTGGAAATCAACTTCAGAAATGATAAAAAAAGAGATAGGAAAAAATTACATTGAGAAGGCTGTTCAGTGAACACGAGCAAGAAAGATGTCACACATTAGCTAACATGCCTTACTTGACTTGATTCCTGTAGGCTTTCTTGTTTGAGTTCCAGGACTAACATAGAAAAATGTGGTCAACATAATTTGTTTAGAAAATAAAGCACTTACTATGAAACTGCTTGGTCAAGCAAAATAACAAAAGAGATAAAGATAATCCGTCAGTCAGTGCTTATTACAAGCACACCTACACCCTTATAAAGGACTAGACAGAAAGGTGAAAAGTCTTCAGTACCAGAAACATGAAACTCATTTTAACTATTAATATAACAGCATATCATTCACTAGGAACTGCAGTAAACGCCAAAACGTGTGTTCACAATTCTCATTTGAGAAGAAAAGCATATTCTTAAAGACTTCTCCTCATGTTCTTACTTTTTTTCTCCAGTTGCTCACCCTTACCTACCATGAATACCACATATTCATGAACACATGCACATGTTGATAAATATCTCACACACACAAAGAAAATTCAACTGTCAAAAAGTTTTAAACCAGGACAATCATTACTGCTGAAAATTGGATTCCTGCGTAAGAAAAAAAAGCAAAACCCTTTACCTTAAGAAAGAATCTCTTATCTGTCCTAACAGGATTGTAGGAGGCAAGATAAGCAGCGATTAGAAGAAATTTGGAGTAGTAAGGAAGTTCCACATGTGTGTGTGCAGAAAGTCCTGTAAAAGAAACAATTGAGAGCAGATTTCAGTGACGTATAAACCTCCACAGACTTCAAATTACAGTGGTTTGTATTCTCCTGTTTCAATATTGTAGTCTATATGATTTCCTTCTCTGCAGCTGTACTCCTGTAAGCAAAGTATGGCTTCTTCTGACAAAGCTGTTACCATGGATATAAAGTCAGGGAAGGGCAAGGAATGCTGTCATGAAGCTACACAAAATACACATCCTGAACTCTTTACAGACTTTTCTGAGAAGCAGTATTTAAAAATCAGCAATTCAAAAACCACTGAAGAGTGATCTCCTTAAAAATAATTCAAGGATACTTTCCGTCAAGGACCCCGTTCCAGCAAACAGAACCAATGAACAGACATTCCAGACTCTGGAGGACACAGCTCAGTACGGAACTGAGCTGCCATGCCACCAGAACTGGTGCTGCATCTTTGAGCAACAGTTCAGCATCTCACCGTTTTTAGCTACTCTTCTATTTTCTATAAAAAGGAAAATGTTCTCGAGACTTCAAACTTAATACATTTGACCTAGTGTGCTACATAATATACTTCATTTATGTAAGAGTCTTATGTACTACAAGCACAAGTAGTACGGTCTACTGAGTATTTTTCTTCCTTCCCTTGAATGCACTTTATAATTGTTGTTTCTTGCTCTTTAAAGCACTACTACCTTTATGACTTAACTCAGAAACATCAGCAAACAAAGATGAAGGAATTAAAAATGTTTAAAGGTTGAGAATCAGAGCTCAGAGTGTGATGAGAAGCACCGTAGATAACAGCTAGTAATTCCTTTTCAGGTAGTCAGAAAATCACAGCAATTTAGCTTTAATTTACAAATGAGAATGTTCTCTACTGCATACTCATTACATGGAACAACAACAACAAAATCAATCGCATACAGAGAGTTCAGTTTATAAAAGAAGTGTCTGTTTCTACAACTGATATGCTAGTGTTGCATCATGCACTACTTCCTAATTACAACCACAGTAAAATTTAATATTTTTAAGCATTTTATATTATTAAATTACATTAAGCTGTTGGTAAACAGCATTTGATGGCCATAGGACACCTGTTTTGCTTAGGAATGTGGTAAACCAGTACAGTGCAACAGGTATAATACTGACATCACTCCACAGATGATTCTGCACTTGGCATGCATAGGTTTACAGTTAGGAGAGGTGAGCCATTTCCTCATGCATTGTTAGATGGAGAAATACTGATGTAATGAAATTTGCTTATATCCCAAATAGCACCATAGGAAAAATTACTCCAAGGATATATGAAAGGGGAAAAAATAGTGAGAGTCCTCTGTAGAAAGTCTTTTCAAAGAAAACATAACTTCCCTGAACTGTAACTGAACATTAGGTATCCTCGTCCACATTAATTCCAGTCACACTTTGACAGGTAAGACTGATCAATCAGAAGAGAAAATGTTTTACATTACAAGCTTCTGCACAGTTACTGTATTTGGCACCTTTAATCTGCCCAGGTTCTTCTTCTTCACACTGTAATCGCTCCCACTGTGAGCTAAAAGACAGAAAATGCAACAGAAATTAATATCTGTTATTCCCATGTAAAATCCTCTCTTAGGGAAAAAAAAAAACAAAAAAACAAACATATACCAAGTAAGTAATTTAATTACATGACTTTAGCTAGGCCAGAGTAGAAGAATAATTATAAATATCAAGTCTTACTATCTGGAATATAGGTTTCAATAATAATACAAACAATAGTAATAATAACAATAATAATAATGAACATAATTTTACATTAAGGTGTAAAAGTAAAATTGAGTACAAGCTGATTATAAAATATTTGTTCTTTTCCATTCAATTACTACAGCATATTATGTCTTAAAACAAAGCAAAATTTAATGAAGAACTGATAGCTTTGATTTTTTATTATTCTTGTTTTGCTTAACTGTGTTTATCCTAACAAGAACAACACTATAATTACTTCACACTGGAGTTTTGAAGTCTGTGTGAAAAGAAGTTGATACTATTCTTCTCTGAAAAGCTTTGTAAAATCAAAAAGAACATTTTGACAGTGAAAAGTAATGTCTGCAAGTAGGTGTTTTACTTAATAGTGAAATCCTCACCTTAAAGCTTCCCCTAAGGCACAATATTATTAGCACGTCATGATTTCAGACTATCACTTAGTATACTACAAACAATAACATTTTATTCAAGTATCAAAGTATCACTGCATTTTTAAAGATCCTCATGATCCTTCCCTCAGCTGAAAACCTGTCTAATTTATTATCACATATTAGGTTTATCAGCCATGAGCCATTAAAACTTACAAAAATAGCTTAATGAGCACTGATGTAACACTCAAATCATAATGAACATTCAACCAAATTATTAACCCAATACTTCATACACTGTCTGCCTCAGAGGTAGAAAAAAGTTTCATTTTCATCTTGGTTCAGGCAGTACAACAGCATATAACAAAATTCCACTGCTGTAACTTAAAATTAGAAGAAAACTCAGGAGTAATTACAGTTCTATGGCCAGAAAAATTAATATGGTTATTTTTATTCCTCAAGTGCTTACAGTTATGCAGAAGTAAATCCTAGAACTATTATGCAAAAAGCTGAAATTTATAATAAAAAATGGCAAAATTCAAATTTATAATAAAATAAAATAGTAAAGAGGGAAAAAAAAGTTATTTGGGAACCATTAATAACCTACTTTACATCATCATGTTAGATTACACACTAATTAGAAAGGACCATTAGAGAATACAAAAAGTTAAGATTGTGAGTAGACTGTAACAAAGATCAATACTGAGTATGAATACACATTTGAGGCAAACAAAGTAATTAATGACCCGCTGTACAGCTAAGTCTAGCTCATACAGAGGGAAACCTCTGTTTCAAGGAAAGATCACTTTTCCAAGCCATTTAGCCAAGACTTCTACTGCTCACCCAAGTTCTGTTACCAGAATACTCTATGGCCTCAGTGACATTCATTGAAGAAGAAATCATTATGTATCAGTACAAAGAAATCAAGCACTAATTATTTATCCCTACTTACATGGGTGTAATATCAGAATCACAAATCAAAAGGATAGAGAAGACATTAAGACTGAGCCAACAGCTATTATTAAAAAACGAGCATCAGGGTCCTTTTTCCAGCAGCCTCTTGTCAAATAAACAAAGAATCTCAAACTATACCAACCTAAGTTCAGTGCATGAGCAGTACAGCAAATTTTAACATTGTCAAAAACAATAATCTTATATAAGGAATGTTGTGCCCTTGGATAAAAAAAAAAAAAAACAAGGGTCAGAAAGCACAGCAAATATACATAAATCTAGCGAGTAAACAAAGCTGAAGGACACCGATGTTCAAAACCTGCAGCAGTAACTGTGTCTGTATGTGATGGATTCCCACGCTTGACACTTCCACTTGTGGCAACGCTGATCTGCACGACCACCACAGAAATTCAAACTACAACCCATTTCTGCTAGTTCACCCACTACATGCTACTTATCACTTATACTTCATATGCTACACGTATCAATTTATTCAGAAGATCTCTCCTAAGGTATCTTATTTTTAACATTATATGTCAAGGAAGAAATGCAGGTTAAAAAGTAAAGATTCTATCTAGCAAAAAAGAAACACTGCTGATGAGAGTTTATTGAGACAAAGAAAATATTTACAAAGAAAGCTTATTAAATACAAAACCAGAAAAAGAAACCACAGAAGGTTACCTGGATACTTCCCGGAGGTAAACTGTCTGCATTGCCTTCTTCAAATGAGGTTCAATATTTTTCCAGAGTTTACGAGTGTCGCGTTCTTTTGCTGCACCAAGCCAAAATAAACTACGTTAAATTTTTACCTCATGGAACACAAACCATATCTACAGCATCTGAACATCACAGGCAGAACACAATCATAGAATCACTCAGCTCAGAAAAGACCTTAAAGATAATTGAGTCCAACCACAATCTAACCATACTACCCTAACAACCCTCTGCTAAATCATGTCCCTGAGCACCACATCCAATGGTTTTTAAACACATCCAGGGATGGTGACTCAACCACCTCTCTGAGGAGCCTATTCCAGTGCTTAAAAACCCTTTCTGTGAAGTGTTTCCTGACATCCAACCTAAACTTACCCTGGCACAGCTTAAGGCCATTTCCCTCATCCAGTCACCAGTAAGAAGACACCATCCCTGCTCTCGCTGTAAGCACCTTTCAGATATTGAAAGAGAGCAATAAGTTCTCCCCTCAGCCTTCTTTTCCCCAGACTGAACAGCCCCAGTTCCTTCAGTCTCTCGTCGTAGGGCACATTCTCCAAGCCCTTCACAAGCCTTGCTGCTCTTCTTTGGACCTGCTCCAGCACTTCACTGTCCTTTCTGCACTGAGGTGCCCAACTGAACACAGTACTCAAGGTGAGGCCTCATTAGTGCTGAGTACAGGGGTAGGATCAGTCTAACATTCTGATTCTAAATGCTGCCTTACAGTCATGCATTTGCATACTACAATGCAAGGCTGTTTCTCTGTGGTTATTCTGATGAACTCTGGGACAGTTTGACAGAACCTCTGCTTTTATCTTCTTCAGAGTTTTGATAGAGAAATGACTTTTGTCACTGCTTTGTAGAAGTACTGCTGCTTGAGAGACGAGAAAGTTGTACAGGGGAGTAGCCAGTTTTCAAAGGATTTCCCTCTCATTTTCTCAAAACATCACTATCAGAAACTTTAATCTGCTTCTATTGCAAATGTTACCTACTGGGTGCAACTGGCCTAAGTGATACTGCTGTGACCAGAAAAATTAACAAAGTGAGGATCAAAACAGTCTTCCAGAAAGTCAACAGGAAGACATACGCACTGTCCTGTAGGCACTCAAATCAATGACAGAAGCTTACCTTCTTTTCTGACCACTGGTTCGCAGTATTTAGAAAAATTGAGTGCTGCCTACAGAAAGTAAAAAGTACAACACATTAAGAAGGTATCATACATTTGATCTACCTACAGAGTAGAGAACATCGCATAATTCATTAGTTTTATAATCAAAAACAATTATTTCAGTCAATAATTACGCTGTTTTATTCCCAAATGTTCCACTGTGAAGTGTCACAACATTTTTGCAGATTAAATATAAACTGAAATAATCAGCTTGGTTGGCAGCAAAATCTGTTTTCTGTATTCAAAGGCTGTAATCTTTAATTTTTTTAATACTAAACACTATAAATAGAATTTTAAAAAAAATATTAAACTTCCAATTCAAAAATGAGTAATGGAAGTAAACTATAGTGTAGATGTAGTTCAGTATGTTCAGAAGTAAGCAACGTGTACTTAAAACAGACAAGCAGAAATTATCTGTAAAAACTGTCCTAACAGAACGTGGGACTTTTCACAAGGATCTTATCTCAATCTTTTCATAAATGGTCAAATAAATAGCACACAGAATATTGTAAAACTACCATCTTCACAACTCACTCTCCTCTTGTCCTACTGAATCTTTCTAAATCTCTCTGCTAATATACAGAACTCAAGGCAGTATCTTCAACACATAAGTTTAATATAATTCCAGAATATGTTCCTAATAATCAAGCATAATAACACATGTATTTCCAGGTTATGCTAGGCACTATGAAGTGGTTCATAAGATACTGAGAATCATAGAATCAATGAAGTTGGAAAAGACCTCCAAGATCGTGTAGCCCAACCGCCTACCTACCACCAATGTTTCTGCATTTAATGTACCACATCTAAATGATTCTTGAACATCTCCAGGGACAGAAGACTCAAACAGCTCCCTGGGCAGCCTGTTCAGTGCTTCACCACTCTTTCTGAGAAGTTTTCCTTAATATCCAGCCTGAACCTCCTCTGGTGCAACTTGAGGACATTCCTTCTACTCCTATTACTTTTTATACAGAAGAAGAGGCCAACCCCCACCTCACCACCACCTCTGTTCAGACAGGTGTAGAGAGCCTTAAGGTCTCCTCTGAAGCCTGCATTTCTCCAGACTAAACAATCCCAGATCCCTCAGCTGCTTCTTGTAAGACTTGTGCTCCAGACCCATCAACAGCTTCACTGTCCTTTTCTAGACATGCTCCCAGACCTTCATGTCTTCCTTGTATGAGGGACTCAAAACTGAACACAGCACTTGAGGCATGGCCTCACCAGAGCCAAGTAGAGGGATGACAGCCAGCCTTCTCAGTTTTGTCATTCACCTGCCAACTTGCTGAGGGTAAACTCTGCTCCATAGTTCAGATTATTAATCACAGAATCATAGAATCACAAAGTTGGAAAGGACCTAGAAGACCACCTAGGCCAACCATCATGAAGATGTTTAACAAGGCTGGACCCTGAGAGGTCTCCAGCTAGACTTTGCACCGTTTATTACCCTCGAGTGCGCTCAGCCACTCTGTCAGTTTTTGATCCACCTCAATCTCTGCTCATCCAGCCCTTATATTGACACTTGTCTATGAGGACACAATGGGGGACAGCTCCAAAGGCCTCACTGATGTGCACAAAGACAACATGCACTGCTCCCCCTACACCCATCAGGCTGGTTGTTCCATCACAGCAGCTTATCAGGTTGCTCAGGCATGTCCTCCCCTTGGTAAATCCATGCTATTGCAAAAAACTTCCTGCGCCGCCCGGGAATCGAACCCGGGTCGCAAGAATGGGAATCTTGCATGATACCACTACACCAGCGGCGCTGCTGCTGGCCCTGCAGAACTATGCCTGATGGAGAGACAATCTCAACTAAATAGAAAGCTTCTAAACGTAACACACAAGTTCACTTGAAACTTAGACATATTTTCCTGTTGGAAACAAGTGGAACATTCTGATCACCTCACTGGCAAAATCTGTTCATTGTTTGTAACCACTGACCACAACACGCTTTTGAAATTTCAATGGGTTCTCTCTACAAGAAAAATTTCCTTGTATACAGTAACTATATTTACTATATAATAACTGTTATAAACAATAACAACTCAGCTAAAAATTGGCATTGCTTTTCAGCTTTACCTATGTAAAGGTCACCATCAACCACGTGTATTTTTTTTTTTTAGTTTATTTTTACTGTTTGCTCTTACATTCCCTAATTTATACCTGGTTAAAACTCCTTTTACCAAATACCTTCAACATATTTCCACTTTCTCATATGTTATTATATTACAAGAACTTTTAACTTACCTATTTTTAATTCCAACAGAAGGACAATGAAAATATCTGTCAATTTTAACTCCTCTAGACCTTTGATTCAAATTAATATGCTATGTTTATGTAACACTGCAGAGCTCTAGCTTGCTGTTGCTACTTAACAACTTAGGTACCTTAAAATCCTCCGTAGGAAGCAAATCAATGGGAAATTTTACACTACTGAAAAACACAAGAAGTTGTTTCAAATTTTAATTTAAATTTCCCATACTGATGAAGTATTAACAACTTTGGGTGACAAGTTACACTTAATAAACATAGGAAACCATAGAACTTGCAGCCAGACATGCAATGTTTATCTAAGATCATTCACTTGAAGTTTTCTTTCATGCACTGAAAGTAACTGTCTCGTGTTGTACTGAATATTCTGAATTGTTCAGGAAACAAATAGAACAGAATCTATTAAGGACAACAGAAGTCCACAATAGCAGTGTGCAAAGTTCAAATCCACATTACTACATACAAAAAGAATCTGAAGAGTAAGGAATCTTGAAAGAGTAAAATCATAACCACTACTAAAAAAAACCACTGTTATACCTAAGTCTGTAACAGACTTCTCCAGGAACTGCTGGATTTGCAACAACTGCTTCTACCACACTTAGCAGACCTAGGAGATACACCTCTGTATCTCAACAGGTGAAAATATTTGGTTTAGTCCTCTCAGCCACTCTGATATTGTAGAATTGTTTGAGCAGAAGTGAGATCAAGAAAAGTTCCATGCTGGCTGAATCACAAACATACCAAATTCCTTTAATGCAGTTTTTGTCCTCACTGTGACTGTGGTTGTATACTGTGTAATTCAAGAAACCTTTTGCAGCCATCAGAACCTTTTGTCACACACAACTTTAGGAAAACTACATTCTGTGCTAACACATCTCTTTGCCATATTCAACAGTAAATCTAGACTTGCCACAGTTTCTCAGGAAAACATACAAATAAACAAAGAACAACAATAAGAACAACAACAACACCACCACCAAAAGAGCTTGTCTCACCAGATGCTGAAGTTCTTTGAGGTCCCTACAGACCATGTAGAAGACGCCAAGCAGAATATTTATATATGCAGAATAGAAATCCGCAGAATATTCTGGAGGATGATTCTGGGACAAGATCTTCTGCAGGTGTCCTATTTAAACATAGGTAAGTTTGGCTTATCTAAAAATAGCTTTAAAAACTGAACACGTTTTAAATTAAGCAGAAAAATAGTTCTCATTAAAAACAAATACTACCAAAAAAATCAAAGTAATGAAAGAACTAGCAAGTATAACGGATCAAAATGTTGTTTTCCGATGTTCTGTTAAGAGGAGTATTTTAGAGCTCGTGTGAATATAGCCTTCTGCCTTCCAGTGGCTAACATGCTTTTCAGATTCAGAAAAAGGCATATTGGTAAACGATTTTTATCATATTTGCACAGTTTTTGACAAAGTGTTATTTAATCCCCAAAAAGCAAATTCAAGAATTATATTACCTATGCTGTAATCAGGAAAATACAAGATGAATGGCTCAAAGCATCCAGTATTTGGACGAAACATTTCCCATACTATTTCACTAAGCAAGATAACTGTCACATTTCTGTCAGTCTACAAGAAGGGAAAAAAAAAAAAGTAGCAGATGAACAGAAAAAAAACAGCATATTATAACACCAATGAAAAAAATACCATGACACTTCTATTCAAAATAATAAGCAAACAAAAATGAAAATTACAGTTTAATACAAACCACTACCATAACAAAGCTTCAGCTAGTCTAGTCAAGAGTGTCAAATATTTGAAGATTTTCATCTTTACCTCTTGTCATTTCATTGACATGTATGCTTTCTGGGGTTACAGAGATTCAGTACTAGACAATATCAACTTCAATCCATTCATTTGTTTGCAGAATTAAAGCAGCAATTTATATCAGTAATCAAACCCAGCCTTTCAGAACAGATAGGAAGGATTAAGAAGCGAAAGAAAGCTCAGATCTCTTTAAAACCAAGCTGCTACTTTATTTTAAAGGTCAGGTGGTGAGCAGGAACAGAAGATTTTCGACAATTGCCCTTCTTTCCTTCTGTTACATCACAGCGCTTCAATGCAGTTCTAAGTATATTCTAAGAATGCTGAAGTCTTATAGTTTAAACTCCTAGACAATGCCTACAGAAAAAAAGCCATCAAGAGCTCCATCGAAACCCCTACTGATACATGATGTTTAACATGAGTTATGAATGACTCGAGAAGTTTAAGTGCTATTCCCCTTCTCTGAAATTCCCACTTCTTGCTGAAGTGCTGGCCACCAGCACTCTTTATTGTTTCTTCTTTTTCTATTTGTATTCATCTATTTCCTTTTAATTAGCCCACCTTCCTACAGTTTTCTTCCCCAAACCTCTTTCCTTTCCCAGACCTCCCACCATTTTAGCTAAGAAAAAAGCTAAGGTATTTCCATTTCTGTTCCTGACAGACCTTCCAATATGAGAAACCCAAGTCCTTTCTATCATAATCCATACAGAAATCAAGCATTCCACTCTTCACACGATGCCCTGTTCCACAAAATCTGACTGATAATGAAGAATCTTGCCTCCTAAGCATGAAAGTCAACGATGAAACAACTTTGCCCCATGACAGTCATCAGCCTGCACATGAGTTTAACACCATCTCAGTTCAGAATACAGAAACTAGGATATCAGCATTAGGAAAGGCTAGCAAACTTATCTGGAAACCACTTTTGATCTTGAAGATGCTGCTTTAGCATTTAAAAAAAAACATATGCTTTTTTGATTCCTGAGCAGTAGGGGCTACACTTCCCTCCTTTATTGTCAGTTTGTTTCTCCTTAAGGGCAGCAAACTCTACAACATGGGCAAAACAGACAAGAAGGGCCAGAAAAATCAGCTGCCAAGATTAAAAACACAGCTCTGAATGAGACTTCATTCAGTAAAAAGTGAAATCAGTGTCACCAGAAGATTACTGACTATCATATACAAGTTCTTGAGGTATAAAAAAAAAAAAAAAAGTCCTCTATTTAGTTGTTCAGACATCCCAAAATAACACCATTTGCTAGTTTTGTTTTCTGTTTATTTCCAGAGAATACACCATCTTTACTTCTTCCAAGGGACAAGCCTACATAATTCAGAAGTGAAAGAAGATATGGAGCTTAACTTCAAATCAGAAACATACTATGGTGTGATTAGAGAAGAAATGTAAAAACCTTCTGCCAATATCAAGCATGTTCTCAGCTGCTGAGCTGAGCAGGTCCAGCCACAAGCATATGGTTCATACTATTCTGAAAAAGCCATCAAGAAATGGCCTGAAGTTTTGTGTGGAAGAAAACTGAGGAAAACAAACATTTCTTGACTGCAAATTCATGCTTCTGATACTGAATTCACTCTATTTGATTGAGCTCTCTGAGTCAGCCTGATTCAGATGTAAACTTTGGATCCCCACATTAACATTCACAAACGCTAGAAGGATTTTTTTTTTTTTAACTTATCTATTGCTGATGCAAAGTATGTAGTATGTAGGAACTGTGTTGAACTTATGCCTAATAGATCACAGTCTTCCTTTTTTGCTTTTTTTTTTTTTTTGTAGTTATTACAGGACTTTAAATGAAGTGCAGAAAAAATTCACATTCTTCCTAAAAATAAAAACATTCAAGAAAAGGCCGCTACATATCTGGCATCAGCATCCCTGTCAGAAGGTATTATTAAACTTTACTTTTTTTTGTTTATATTGAAGGATAAGATAGACCTGCAAGCATTTAAATTCTGGTTTACTTTCTGGTTTTGACCTCTGCCAGCTGCTTATTTTTTAGAAACCAAACAGACAGACAAACCAACCAACCTGCAGCTTTTCTAAGGAATCACTTTTCATGATGAGCCTGGACAGACCTATCTCATGTGCGGTTATCCTGAATGTAGGAATCATATGCTATTTTTTTCCTTGAGATACTCACCAATTCTTGAAGCCTAAGAAATGCTGGCAGGACATTTGCTTCCATTTCCCTTAGCTGTTCTGCTCGATCCAGTACCTTTAATAAAATAGTGATCTCATTACACAGAAAACAGTAACCTGAACTCTCATGCTGACTTGAAATCTGCTCTCAGCTGCTGGAGACACATTTCACCAATTGCTCTCAGACAAGAGGAAACTAAGCAGGAAGTTATGTTAAGAAGGGAACATCAGAGATATCATTGCTTCAGGTGTGCTTCCAGAAAGCTCAAGCAGCTCTGCCTTCCAAACAAAAGACATAATTCCCAGAAAATCACAGTATCACCAAGGTTGAAAAAGACCTATAAGATCATCCAGTTCAACCATCCACCTATCAGCAATAGTTCTCACTAAACCATATTCCTCAACACAACATCCAAACGTTCCTTGAAAGCTACATTTTTATACCTAAGGGTAGCAAGAATTAAGAAGTACATACATAAATCAAGAAATCTGTAATATTTATAATCTCTGAAATCTCAATTTTCTCCAGAATTATTCTTCTATTAAAGACTGGGTATTACTTCAACTGTACATTAACACACTTACTGTAGGAGAGTTGTCTTTTACCAGTATTAATTTATGTCTCCAAAATAATTAAGAGCTACCACTTAATATCTTCAAGTAGCTAACATCTGGAGTTCATACAACTGAATTTTGAGAGAAACTTTTCTTACTATATTTTGTAGCCCAGATGTTTACAGGATTTAACCGTATTTATGCAAACCCTGTGTAATAATAACAGCTATGCTGTTTATATATAGCTTATACAAGGAACACCAAACAACTGGACGTTTGAGCCTGTACGGAAAAATCAGGAGCATAAAAACATTTGTGGACATCTTTCAGAAAGAAAAAGAAAAAAAAAACAACTTATTCCACTCTTTCCTGTTAAGATTCTAAGAAGAAAAAAAAAAAAATCATGTATTTTGTATTCTATTCACTACTCACAATAAAAACATAAGCTCTGAAGTTCTTTACTTCCTCTGAATTACTACTACGTTGAAAGAGAAACTATCGGTCTCTGGAAAACTGCATTAGTCTATTCTTTAACCACATCAAAATATTAAAACATCTATTGGTTCTGTTGTTCACAGTAAGAAAAGTAATTCTACATGGACAACCAAAGAACATGTTATGAAAAGGGTATTTAAAAAAAAAAACTGAAAAAAATGTGGGATTATCTCTGAAATAATAGTTCAAGATTCTTGGGACTATTATAGTTTTAAATAAACTGTAACACAACATGATTTTATATTGACATCTGAATTTCGTTCATATAATAACCAGCTTCAAGGATGAGAACAGCTGATTAGGTTTACACAGAATTGCTTGAAAGTATTTTTCCTAATGAAACACTCTTTGCTAGGCCTAGTAACAGGCAATACCGAATACGAAGCTTAAACTCTTAAGTAGATCTTAGTTTTCCCCTGAATGAGAAACAAAGCAGAGTTTTTATTCACAACACGCAAAATATACTGCAACGCTGGGCTGTGGAACATGTCATGTGTGTCATGGAAACTGCCAACACAGGCCTATAAACCTACATTTACTCTATTATTTATTTTAATGCAAATTTGTCATGTTTTTTTAAACCAAAAAGTATATTTTCCCAATGACTGTTGAGCAACAATAAAACTGCAGATTCTTGCTTCTGTATAGCGCCAAATACTACAGGTGTACAAATGAATAGAAGTTAAATCCGTTCTATTTTTTTCATATAGTTACAAAGAATAAATTCTCTTTTTTTCCTGAGTAATCACAAGCACACAGCACCCATGCTGGAGTTAACAGAAGCATTTAGAATCCTTTGATTAAGAGTAAACATTTATCTTAATTCACTCTGAATTAATTAGGCTGAAACATTAGATTATTTAATTCGAAAAGGAAATAGTTCATGTTACCAGCACACTGGTCTTCCATCAGTCTCAATTTAAACCATTCTATCACAAACCCAGATGACACAGTTTAATATACATGAATTGATTTCCTGCGTTCCTGTCTGTTCCCATGCAGAACAGAACTGAAATACTAATACTTAGTTCTTCTGATTCAGCAACTATTTACCTGAAACAATGGAAACTTCCTAATTATTTAATGCTCTGCTTTCTGTAACTATTGTTCAGGAACATTCTGATTTCCAGATCAATAATAATTTTAATATAACACTTGATGCATTCTTTACTGATGCAGAATAGGATTTTTAATTCAAATATTCAATTGAAAAGAAGTACAGATTTATTATATGTTTTGTGAAGCTTCCCATCACTTTAGTGCTAAATCCTGTTTTTATGGAATTGTTGAAAGATGTCAATACCACTTTTTTTTAATCTGTATATTAAATTGAATTATCTATAAGTAGTTTATTATATATTTTAAGTATTGGCTTGGAGCTGTTTGATTTTTTTTTTCTCCAATTTTTGGAGAGTAAATTTTATCAACTTCATGAGTTTCATCAGTTAGCATTGCTTCCCCTAAACATAATATGAAGTTCTTAAACATGTTTTTACATCCATTAAAAGAATACTCAACCATAACCTGTGAAACAGTGTGGAATTTTCTGCGTAGTTCTAGACTTCTTGTTTGACTACAAAAAAGCAAAGCAGTGTGCCCTTCAACTGGTCTGAGAAATACGCAGTGATAATCCCAGCTGATCAGACTTCCAATCTTGAGTCACTCTCATGTTTTCTTCAATAATAAATTTGACCTCATTTAACAAATTATTTAATTTGTTTGGCTGAAGGAGCTGGGATTGTTCAGTCTGGAGAAGAGGAGGCTCAGGGGAGACCTAATTGCACTCTACAACTTCCTGAAGGGAGGTTGTGGTGCAAAAGGGTCTGGCCTCTTCTCCCAGGCAAATAGTAGGACCCGAGGAAATGGCAAGAAGTTATACCAGAGGAGGTTTAGGTTGGCTATTAGGAGAAACTTTTTCTCTCAGAGGGTGGTCAGGCACTGGAATGGCCTGCCCAGGGAGGTGGTGGAGTCGCCATCCCTGGCAGTGTTCAAGAGGCTCCTGGATGAGGAGCTACGAGAGATGGTTTAGTAGCTTGTGGCACTGATAGGAATGGGAGGGTGGTTGGACTGGATGATCTTGCAGGTCCTTTCCAACCTTGTGATTCTGTGATTCTGTAATTCTTAATACTATGCTGAAAATTCAGTCCATGTATGTTGTGGGTTTACTAAGTATGCATGTATACACTTACACATCACTATACTAAGAGAATTTATTCAACTAAGTGAACTAGGAAAAGTTTTGAGTCTGCATCCTCTCTGTAGAGCTCTTGCACGCTTCATATTTATTTCAATATTCGTCTGTTGACACAATCAATGCTGTTAATGTTTACTACTTGATGTAGCTAGTTTAGCACAGTACCAGTGTTCTAGTCCTACACTGATTCAATCATACTTGTGATTTAAGTTCTCCTATTTTCTTCTGCAGACTGCTTGTTTCTTCCAAGCTTACTTATGTATGTCATCAAATCTTTCACTGCAGGATATTTCTGACATCTCAATGTTAAAACCTCAGTTCTTGTCTCCAAGGGCAACAATATAAAGACGTAAGATTCTTACATTTACAGAGGAAATTGTACATTTTAATTCCTTAGTATGACTTCTGACTTAAGTCTATGATAGCCAGCAATTGTTGTGTGCACCACAATGCACTTCCCCCCTGCTTCCTACTTTTGCCTCTTCATTTGTGAAATTACCTTCTTCACAGAGAAGTACCTGAGTGTGACTTAAGAACTGTGAAACAAATATAGCCTCTCTATATTATAAGCGACTTAATTATACAGTATAATTTACGGCAATTACTTACTATGTTAAACAGCTTTGTGAATAAAAAACTTCAAAAATATGAAAAATACACTTTCACCTGCAGACAGTAAGCCAGCTGGAAAAAAAATCTATTTGGTATCAACAGATTGTGAACAAGGTACAAAACAGAATTTTGTGAAAACTGTTCTAATACATACATTGCACATACAGGTTATTGACAGCACCTGGATCCACAGAAGCAACACAAAACCTAAGCCCTAAAAATAAACTACTTACAACATATACTGTTTGATCTTGAAGATTTTGACTCACGAGAGCTTGTTTAAACAGACGCACAAAGTCATTGAAGGTATCACAAGGCACGGGAGAAGCTCGTTTTGTTTCAGAAGAACCATTTTGCAGCTGGATGAGAATTTCTTCTAGAAGAAGTCGTGAAGTAAAGCATTCCACACAGTTCACAAACACATGAGGAAGCTGGAGGGGATAAAAATATCCAACTTCATTTCTATACTGTATTTATAGTGCTTTTTCAATATACATACTCCAAAATCAAGTTTCCCTTCCATATGAAGCAGTGAAAGAAACCAAACACTGCCAACAGAATAGAGAGCATAAACAAATAAATAAAACCTCGCTGTAGACAAATCATTACTAAAGTATCTAATCAAACTATCACATGTCTTAAGGTGATGAGAGGTCTGACAAATCCTCACACAAAACACGTGGTGTGCCTTCTAATTAGGTTTTAAAATTTCTCTTTTGAGAGCAAAACATAGGAAGAACACCAAATAGCATTTTGATCAAAGAAAAGACAATCACAACACATTACAGTCTCGTAAAATAACCCATTACAAACTGGGTGGCATGAACTTCTCAAACTTATAAAAAAAGTAATCTAGGAGCACACACTTCAAAGAAATTACGCAATGCTTTTGGCACTCTGCATACAAACGGCCCGAAGATAAAGTGCAAGATTCTACATAAAACATGTGATAAGCCTGTTTGTGTAGAATATTCTGCACAAATCTGATAAATGTGCATATATATTTATGTGATTATTTATATGGCATTAACCAATTCCAAATCAAGATGATTTTACTTAGAAAGCAGGAATTCTTTATGTGAATTTTGTTTGTATATTCCTGAAAAAAAATTGTTGATTCCAATTAGTTACATAATTCACTTATAGCTAGCCATCCAGCCACAACACCATTACAAACATTACTCAAGGTACTCAGTTCCTCCAAAATTTTGAAATAAATAGTCTAAAGAAGTGGTTTTCTTATGTTAGAAACAACAAATAGCATACATTAAAAACCACAGTAAAGCAATATGATTCACCAGGAGAGGTTTAGGTTGGATATCAGGAAGAACTTCGTTACAGAAAGGGCTGTTAAACACTGGAATGGGCTCCCCAGAGAGAGGTGGTTGAGTCACCATCCCTGAATGTGTTTAAAAGCCATTTGGATGTGGTGCTCAGGGACATGATTTAGCAGAGGGTTGTTATAGTTAGCATAGTATGGTTAGGTTGCAGTTGGATTCAATGATCTTTAACGTCTTTTCCAACCTGAGCAATTCTATGATTCTGTGACGCACATCAAGCTGTGTTTGGAGGATCTAGAAAAACCACAATAATTAGCCTATGCAACACTGCTTCAAGATTTAAGATCTATTTTTCAAGATTTTCAAAATTTTCAAGATTTAAGACTGTATTTTCTAAAGTAAAGATCTTCCTGCATCTACAAGCAGGATGACCAGAATAAAGCAAATATGCTACAATGAATACAATGTTCTCCTTCAATCTGCAGAAGTATCAGAACAAATGGCAGCAGCCTTGTACTCAACTAGTGATTTTCATTATTTTATTGACTTATTTTTTTTCTTTTTTAGATTTCCAGCAAGTGTATGGCTTGTACCTTTGCTCAGAACGCTAACGACTGCACAGTAAGTTCAAACTTATGGGACTACATTTAAAGAGATTATGCACACCCAACTGAACATAACTGCAATTAGTTTGTCAACAAAAAGCAAAATTCTACTTTGGCAAAATCTTCTTACTGTTGCTCATTTGCTCTCACGGCTGCACCAGCACTTGGCCCCCAACATTTTAGGCTAGGAACATCTTTGCAATACATGCCCACAAAGATCGCTGGGACATTTGGGTATCACCAAAATTACATTTGTGAAGCTTCCATAAATCGTCTTTTTTTTTTTTTTTTTTTTTAATATCCAAATAAACTATTAAAGGAGAATTACAAGATAGAAAAAAGGTTCTCTGCATTACATAAGCAATGCCTTGTCACTGAGAGGCTATTGCAGGATAAGTCCTTTCCGGAGAGAGGAAGAAGATAGGCTGCTCTTTCTTCCTTTTTTAAACTTTTCTAAGAAAAATTATTATTCTATAAATTATATATTATTATGTACTATTTCACACTAATTGGGGGATGAGGGGGGGATGAGTGAGTCAAGGCAGAAATAGCTGAAGAAACAAATCACTCTGGGAAAACAGACAAACAGCAGAGGGATTATGTTTTCATCAGTCCTCCATCACAAAGTTCTAAATTCAGAATCAACAAACTCACCTGTAATGTGTTTAGAAGAGTCTTCATCACATAGGTCTTTCCACTAGATGTATGTCCATAGATAAAGATGGACGGAAAACTCAACTGCTGACGCTAGGGAGAAAGACATGTTTGAAAAGAAAAGGGTTGCTCTTTTGATACCTCTTCTGCTTTGTACTGTTGTTTCCTTGTTTTCAACAGAGGATTTACCACTGAAGTGTGTCCACAAAAAAAGTTAACTTCGAAACTGAGGTATAAAGTATAAAATACACCAATTACCATGAAACAAAACTCGATCACATTGATACCATGATCACTGAAATGCTAAGAGGATAAGTCCCAAGAATCAAAAGTCACATAAAGCTACCTGTGAAACTGCTGTAGCGTGAGGGCACATTTTTCATGAAAGACAATTTAAATAGGAGCAAATAAGAAGAAAAACAGTAGACTCTTAATTCAAACTGATTAAATAACGAACAAAATTCTGGCAAGGGTAAACTGGTAACCTTTACATTGCCATAACTTCTACAAATAGAAGATGCTTTTCATCAGCACTACAAAATCTTATGGACAACAATGGAACTACCAAGAATCACGTACCTAAAATTCAGACTCACAGATACAACAGTTGCAAATAGAATTTCTATACAGTCACTTAAAAAAAAAAAAGCACCCCGGAACTTAAGACCAGGGAGAAAGACAGACTTTGTTCCATTTTTGGAACAAAGTTAATACCACGAACTATCATGGAGAAACAAGGCTACATAGACAGTAAGATACTAATAGCTGACTAAAGAAACAAGATGTACCCAAACTACATTCATAATTACATCACAAAAACTCTACTTTTACTCCAAAATAACAAAACATCATTTTTCCACTCAAATACACAACATAGAAAGCACCACCTCTCCAAATATCGACAGCAACATGGACACTTGCGATTCTCGACAAGGCACCAAACTTTCCAAGCAAAGGAGAGTAGCTGGTGGATAAGCTGGGTGTTCAAGAATAGGCATTTTGAAGTTCCTGTGGTCAGGATTCTAAACATGAACGTCCCTCCTGAGATGTGGAGACGAGAAATAAGGTGATCTGGAAAATAAAAAGTTTTATTATGATTTGCTGTCACATACATAAAGGAGAAAAATAAGCCAGAATTTCTATTACACCTAAATAGATATTCTAATTCTGGGCAACGATATGAAGACAGCTGCTCCAAAAGAAATGCCTCCTATTTCATTTGTCCCACAACATCAGAGGCAGATGTTGGTGGTATGGTGGTAAATTCCCGACAATATTCCATTACATTTTGTTGCTGTGTGACAGATGGCAAAAGAGAAGCAGTCTAACAAAATGGTATCTGATGTTGAAGTGCAGATGAAGCAAAGGTGAATTCCTTTATGAGGAAAGAAATGAACCTGTTGATATTCAGACACTTGCTGAATGTCTAGGTGTTAACACAATGGAAGCTGGACCACGTGGGCGACATTTTCCTAGCAACAATGCCATCACAGTAGCTGTGAAACAGTGGTCGTCTCTGCTGGAGCAGATTTTTACACGTGGCATGCAGGCTCTTGTTCATCGCTGGCAGAAACCAAAAGCTAGTGGTGGTGACTACATTGAATAAACAGTGTTTTGTAGCTGAGGATTTGCTCTATCAAGCATCATCATTGTGCTCTTTTTCAGTATTCACTGAAACGAAAAAGAAGCATTACTTTTGGAGCAGTCACATTCTATGCAGGGCTGAAAGACCTCTTTAAAATTGGGTTTTACTACATAAGGCATTATATGGCCATTTTCACATAAGGCAGATTCCAAAATTTCAAAGAAAAATGGAAGTATGCAATATATCAGCAAATTGCTATAATGAAGAATTATCACATTTAACTAACTGGAGAAACACATATTTTGGTCTGTTTTTATACACATTTAAAAGTAACAAGGTAATAAAATGAGAAAAGCAGATTAGTCACAGATGATCGCCTCCCTGGACAGCCAATAAGTTAGGATCTGCAAGTAACAGAGAACAGGCAGGGCATAAGGAAAGATGATAAAATAATAGCTCTTCAGATATTAACATGAAAGCACAGCAAACTAAGCCTTAAAGCAGCAGTAACAAGTTTGTGCCTGTTGCCCTTTGTTCTGTAACTGAACACTATGTCTACATACATTTGAGACTTTTTTCCTTGTTTTACTTTGCCTTCAGTATTTTCAACGTCTCAGCATTTCAAATTACGTTTAAGTAAGCGCATCAGATCTAACAAGGACTACTCAAAAAAACTACTTTTGAATCAACCTGAAAAACAGAGAAGTCCATAATTGCAAGTATGAGAAACTCAAGTAACGCAGCTATAGAAAAAAAGTGTGTGATTGTACATGGTTGTCTCCTGCACCAATTTAAGAGTCTTCAAAATTGAATGAAGATTTTTAGAAAAGAATAGCTTAAAGTTTCTCACTACAAATGAAATAAATATCAAAGATGGAAGGAAAACATTCAGCCTCCACAGCAGGGGACAAACACAAAGCTTTGGAAAGGTCTGAAAGGCATGTGGTGTGAATGTAAGGTCTGCTCTGCAGTGACTGCACTACCCGGGGCTCAGCACAGTGCCTTGTGCACATCTGAAGCCATTTGAGATGCAGAACAGCTTAAATCTGCTGACAGCATCCTATCTGCCAGCCCATGAAGATGCTTTTCAACCACGTTACCTTATGGCAAACATATTTAAAAGGAAGGAAAAATTTGCATGTCTACTGACTATATGCAGGCATCTAGTTCTTCAGCAGGATCTCATTCTAGAGTCCACATGAAAAAGGACATTTGGTGCAAAGCTTTCAAACTTAATTCAGACTAAATGGCAATGTTGGCATCACCAGCCCAAGCTCGAACTCAGGACGTTCCCAAACTGTGCTGGAGGCGGTACGCGTGGCTGCGATCAGGGCAGGAGCAGCACTGACCTTCAGGGTGAGCCTGGTGAAGTTGCAGAAGGCACCACTCAAGCCAGACGGCACGGGAGGATCTGACACACAGGCAGGATGCCTCTCAGCTCACTGCTTCCAGAATACCTACCCCTCGCACGCCTTTCTACACTTGACACCAAAACTGAGCTCATAGCGCCGCTCTCCCCCCGCCCCACAGAGGCTCACAGAGGCGTCCCACCCGCCGCGCCTGGGGGGCTGAAGGCGGAGCCCGGCTCCGGAGGGCAGGTCGGGACAGGAGCAGCAGGGACCCCATGCTCCCCAGCGCCATGTCCTCGCCTCGCTTCGCCTCGCCGCCCCGCGGCAAGCGCTCACCCCCGTTCCCGCCTGGTCCCCCCTCACCTCGCTCCGCTCCGGCGCCCACACCTCCCGGCCACCGCTGGCCAGCCGGCTCCCGCGGCCGCTTTCTGCACATGCGCACCACCCGGCTGGTCCTCCGTCCTACTGCAGTGCGCAGGCGCGGAGACTGCACGCATGCGCCGTAGCCACGTGACGCTCACTGCCGTCAGTGCGTCCCTGGCAGCGCGGGAAAAGGCAGGATGGGGCGGCGGAGAAAGGTTTGTGTGCGGAGCCTTCTGTCACCGGGGTAGAATGGAATAGCTCAGTTGGAAGGGAGCTTCAGTGATTATCAAATCCAGCTGTTTCTTCAGGACTAGCCAGAAGTTGAAGATTATCAATGAAGACATTCTCTATTTGGATATGCCTTCTGATCGCTGACAGACATGGGGCGTTAGCCTCCTCACTAGGAAGCCTGTGGCCACCCTCACAGTATAAAAACTTTTCCTGTTATCCACTCGACCTCCCCAGCGCAGTTTTGTGTGCCATTCCACCATGTTCTGACATCAGTTTCCAAGGGGTAGATCTTGGCACCTCTCTCTGCAGTGACACCATCATAGCTGTGAAACGGTGATCACCTCTGCTGGTGCAGATACTTACAAGCACAGCACGCAGGCTCTTGTTCATAGCTGGTGAAAATGCATAGCTAATGGTGGTTACTATGGAAAAGTAGTGTCATGTAGCTGAGAATTTGCTCAATCAGTGTTACTGTCTTCCTTGTATTTGTTGTCATTTCCACAGAAATAAATAGGAGGCGTTACTTTTGGAGGCAGCTGCGTATATGCAGCCCAAGATGATTCCTCTTCAGTGTGGCCCAGACAAGCCAGAAGGTTGAACGCTCATGCTTTAGAGGCATTGATGGCTCAGGCTGCAGACCCTCCCAGGGTCACTAAAGCACCTGTAAATCCTTATTGCTTCGAAGTGGAGATTCTCATTCTCACTGTTCCATCACTGCTTACATTCATTTTCCTAGGACTTGGGTGGTTATGCAGTGAGCTAGCTCAGGGAACAAGTCCAGCTGAAATTAACACAAAGCAAAAAAACAGTTACTTTTGAATAGCCTCACTTCTACAACTCTAGTTAGTAATTGAGTGACCAATGTGGTCTTAGCTACTCTGGTACTTAGCTTCTAATCTAGAATTCAGACAAAATACCCAGTAGTGACACTGTTTATAGATCCACGTGTCACCATTATTATCACGACATAGTAAATGAAAATATATCCCTTTTCCAGCAGTTTAAAATTACTAAGAATATCTACGTTGATTGAAATCTGATGCTTGGTTTTTTCAGGTGTGACTTGTGAAAAGTAAGATAGAATCCTGGACTTGTATATGTGCAGATAAAAAACTATTACAGAAGATGATTGAACAGTTCTGTCCAGTTTTTCAGGCGCATCAGCGTCCATATATCCCTGCTTTGATTTAGTAAGCAAGATACTTTATACCTGTCATTTAGGTCAAAATCTGTAAGTATCAGCTGCTAGAGATAGGATTCATGCATTAGTACCAGGCTGGTTATGTGTAGCGTAATTTGTTTCAGTGTACATTTTTTATTACATTTTACACTGATGTTGCCACTGAACATGCATTTCTGTAAAAGAGAAAGCAAACGGTAGGCTGAGATTTGAAACTTAAATCTAACAGCAGAAGATAGTCTTTTCTCGTTGCGTTCATGCTCAGATATTTAACTTTTTTTTTTTTTTTTTGAGTATCAATGTGATTTTCAGTACAAGTAGTAGTTAGTTTCCTTTTAAGTTTTCTTACCATAGTTCTTGTTCATCAAAATATCTTTTTTTTAAGAATAGGATACTCAGTGATTTCATTCAAATCCCTGGGATTCCTTATTTGTCGAATTTATAAACGTGAATTACAGGATTAGATTGTTTAACATGTAAATACATGGAACTGCATATAGAACACATACATATTCTGTGTGGCCTCTGTATAATACAATATAGAGAGTATTATGAGTCTAAACAATGTGCAGAATTTTCTTCTTCATTTCTCTCAGTCTTTCCAGGATATATTTTACCAGTAATACTGTTGTACATTATGCCATTGAGACTGTATCTGGATTATTACCTAGCAGTCTCTTCCTATTCAGAAAAGTCATTTCAAGCTGATAGAGGTGCAGAAAAGGGCTCCCATAAAGAGCAGGAAGATAAGAAATTATTGCCCTGGAAAGACATTCACTTGAAAGGATAGTTAAAGTGGTGTAAGGAATTACTGTAACCATATGTTCCCTGCTTTGCTAGGACAGTGTTATCATCCTCTTCAACACAAGCCATCCATTTGATTTAAATCCCCAGATAGAGACTATTTAAAGTATTAACTGGGTGATTTTTCGAGGTAGATGAAGGGATCTCAAGTGATTCACTGTACACACCAACATACAGAAACTAAGCTTAAATAATGAAAGGGAAAAGGTATCTACAATAGCTTCTAAAGTGATTTCAGTTTAATCTGCTGAAGGATATCTGACACATCCTAAAGAAGGACGGGATTTGAACTTTGATGAAGAACAGATATCAAAGAGAGGAGAAGAGGTGTTTACATTAAAGGGTCAGTATGGAAATTGTGACATCTTTTATGACCACTTAGAGTAAGAAATTTTCAAACATCTTTCCCAATATTGTGAGTGAGAAAATGAAGTGATGCTGAGTCACACTCTCAGTTATTTAAGAACGAAGTTGTGAACGTTGTTTGTTGGAGCAGAAAGGTTTATTTGACTGAAGTTTCTTTCATTCATATGAGCAAGTATCACAAAAATGAAATAGATATTGATTAGTTGCCATTAGAATTTGTAGAAGTCTTGCCAGAAATACCCCTTCAACTGTTTTAAACAGCATCAGAGCTATCTTGCAAGTGCAGTGCTGCAATGAGAAGGATCATTAGCTTCAGTATAATACATAGTAAAAGCAGACTCCTTAATTTCTCCCCAGATGGAAACCTGCCATTCCATGTAATATAGATTTACACGCGTGTTATTTTAAAAAGTGAATAATTTAAATACATTTTTAATGAATGTATGAAGATAAGAAGTAGGTTGGACCAAATAACTTTGGTCTGGCTGAAGCACACCTACTCTGCTGCAGGTTATTCTAGTGGAAGTGGCTGCATAACCAGCTGCACAAACATGACCAAGTTCCTAATAAAGCAGTTTGAGCACATTTTAAATACCAAGCAGAAGCCTAAAAATTATTATTTCCTGTTAAATGAAATTATATACAGGTAGATAAATTTGTGCACAAGTTCACATCCCATTTGTAACTACGAGTTATTAGGCACCTTCAAGGAATCAGCTCACCTCCTCATTCTCCTGATATCAAAACTAGGAAGATGAGGTGTTGTTACGCTACACAGACTGTAGTAGAAGATTTAGACCAAAGAGCTTCGAGTTACATCCAAAGAAATAGTCCCTGGAGACAACTTTTTGGGATGTAGATTACAAGAGTGCAATATTTTTCCTGCACATCTCATCCTGTGTACAACGCTGTGGTGGCCAGGCCCAACAGGCACCATATCCATGCCAGGGGGCAACGCAAACGGTGGCATGGCTGTGCTCACAGCTGGTAGAGGTTCATTTGCACTGGTACAGCTGAGGATCTGATCCATAATTGCTCATTAAGTTTGCTAAAGATAGACAAAGATGAATGCTTTACAATCTAATCGCTAGTGATTATAATCACCGACAGTGGATTTTCAAGCAATTAGCAGTAATTAAGCTCTCATTTATAACTCATTAATATGAAAAACAGTAATTCCATGGATGAAGTACTCCCATAGTATCTAAGGAAAAGTATTTTGCAGGCAGAAATATATGATGAACTATCTGGAGCTTCAGATCACCAAAAGAGATTTGATCGATGTATCATCGTAGCCAAACACTGCTGAAATTTCAGCTGGTTGCTCAGGCAGAAATCACTTGCACACTACCATGATTGTTTACTGAGACTCCAGGTCCCAGGGGGGACAATCTGGTAAAGAATGAGAGTAAATATCTTTCTTCAAACTGCCAATAAGAAAAATCAATTCACTGGTTTTACTTTAAAGTTACGTTTTCATTAATTCTCTATTCAAATAATGTTTGCTTTCCAATTTATTTTTCTGGGAAAATGGTACCAACCTCTCCAAATAAATTAGCGTGTTAATATATACATTCCTTTACAGAAGTATGTAGCAGCTCACAGCAATGTACTCTCCATACTCATGGAGAATGCTTTACTAAGAGCACATTGCTGAGTTTTTTAAGTTTCATAATAGTCTTCATAAAGCAAGAGGGCCAAAGGACATCGATGTCTTGACACAAGCTTAATCAAAACCTTTTATGTATCGTTACGTACTCGGGTTCTGAAAGCTATACTAAAGTGATATCGCTTCCAGTTGAAGTCAGTCCTATCTGGCAATTGTTGATTTACTTACCTTAATGCCTGGAGATAATCTGAATGAATTCTAAAAAACAACCTTGTTAGAAATATTTTACTTCAGAAAGAAATTAACATTCTCTACTTCTAAGATGAGACATGGAGAAAGATGTGACTTGTATGCACCAACAGCAAGGGCAGACACTTGGATTAACAAGGAATTAACGAGAAACAAAAGACATGGATCGTGGCTGGGAGAGTAGCTAATGGCTACTGTTACTACGTAAGCATTTCTGATATGCAAAAGCTGTCATCATGATGTTTCATGGGTCGTCTGAACCAAAACTATGCATCGGATTCTTACTGCTCAAATCTGCAGTTACACTTAGATGTGCTGGGCTAGGAATGGGCAGCCCGGCGTCATGGAATGAAATGAGGTTTTAACTAGTGTACCACTGTGGATGGTTTACACAAGGGCTTTATTAAAGACCACTTAATTCTTTGATTAATTCCATAGTTAAATCCACTATTAAAACTTTCCCTCAGTTTTAGGGACCTTCTAGATCGCAGTGTAAGTTAAAGGAAACTTTGTTTCCTCTTATATTAAACTTTCCACAGTGCTGAGAAACACACTGCATTTATCTTCGTCCATACCCTGAGGCACCGGTGAGCAAAGGCTGCTAACAGCACTGGCTGGCAGCATTAGGGAGCGCTCTGCAGAAGGAT